GTTTCAGAAAGGCGGGGCATAGAGGAGAAACAATAATGTACAGTATGTGGAAAATGTGTTTTTTGAACCTTAAACCGCATAAACACATTTCATTACACCAAATACACAAAATAATGTTCTTTTTAGCAATATCATATGACCTCTTTAAAGCATCTACCAGATGCAGAAATGCCATGTAAATGGTGGTGGTCTTACATTTCCATTTGCATTTCAATTGCATCACAATCCATGGAAGATCAAATGATATTTGGCATCAATCAAACTTGGCTCATTTAATAGTGAATAACTTATAGTGCACGGCTCTTATAGACACCTTTTCTGATACTGTAGTGTTTATTGGGAGGCAGATGAGAAGGACAAAAGGGAAGAAAGGGTGTCGGAAACAACAAACCAGTTCTCACTCTCCTGCTCCTCCCCCCTTAAGGCACACCTCCCCCCACCCTATAGAAACGCCTTGTTGTGTGACTGATGTCTGCAAGGTGTAAATGTGGATGCAAGTCAATTACCATCTTTCTTCATTGTATTTAAAAAAAAGAAAAAAGAAAAAAAAAAAAAGCTCTGGCAATCTATTAATATATTCTTTCACGGATGAAAAAAATTATATATATAATTTGTGGGCAAACTATTTATTGTATATTATATTTATTTGTTTTTACATGCATAAATGGCATCAGATTTTTGTGTTTAAATGTTCTTGTTTTGTCCCTGATGTGCTTTAAATGCAATGCTCAGATTGAGGAGCAGGTTGACAAGCAGAGGGCTCATGCTATGTCCACACTGGACAGACTGGCACGTCAGGTTGCTGTGGAAAAACTGGAGAGGCGTGAAAAGTGCAAAGCTTTTAAGGTTTGACTTTTCTCAATCCTTATAGAATAAAAAAAAAATGCATAGTTGCACGTACCATCACTCAAGACTAAGACACTGTATCTTCATGGGAACACATTTGGAGAAATGTAGCATTGCATCACTTGCTCCCCAATAATGGGTGCCGTCAGAATTGAGAGTCCAAACAGCTGATAAAAACATCACAAGTAATCCACAGCACTCCAGTCCATCAGTTAATGTCTTGAGAAACCAAAAGCGGCGTGTTTGTAAAAAAACAAATCCATCATTTGGGTGTTTTAACATTAATCTGCCGCTTCTGGCCAAAATATGAGTCCAATATCCATAATAACACTTCATCCAGTGAAAAAGTCTATGCTCTCTTGTCCTTTCATATCAAAATTCAAAACATCAACTATTTTGGACTATTTTGGCTTGTAAACACTGCTTGATCTGTGCAGATTTCTCTCCTGATTCAGACCAGACCACTTTTTTAACTGGAGGAAGCGTTATTATGGATTATGGACTCATTGTTTAGCCGGAAGCAACTGTTTGATGTTAAAAACGTCTTAATGATGGATTTGTTTCTTACAAACACGCAGCTTTTTGCTTCACAAGAGGTTAACTGATGGACTGGAGTGCTGTGGGTTATTGTGATGTTTCTATCAGCTGTTTGGACTCTCATTCTGACGGCACCCATTCACTGCAGAGCATCCATTGGTGAGCAAATGATGCAATGCTACATTTCTCCAAATCTGTTCCCATTAAGAAACAAACGTATTAACATCTTAGATGTGAGTTTTCATTTTTGGGTGAACTGTTCTTTTAAGTGCTGATATAGAAAATGAATTGGAAAAATAAAAATGGAGCCAAGGCTGCTGGGAAAACTGGGCTATCCCTGTTGGGCTGTTAACTGATTTGAACTTACTAATGACTGTTTACTTTTGTCTTTTTAGAGCTGCTTTACAGCAGGATCGAATCATTTGCCTGCTTATCACTGTAAAGCTTCTTTGAAACGATCTGTAGTGTATAAAGCGCTATAGAAATGAAGGTGACTTGCGGTGCATGTTTAGGATAAATGCCATTGATTACAACTGTATTTTGTGATTTGTATTGTAGGAGAAAATAAATTCACAGCAAGCACATGGGCGGCACGAGCTGTCGGTCAGCCATAGTAATAGTGGCAGTAGTGATGCCAAGCGCTGTGTGGATATTTGGCTAAAAATGCCAGGTCTGTAATGTTCTAACTGTATTATTTCCACTAATAGAGTGTATGTGTGTATGGTTGGTTCTTCCGCTCACTTTCTCTGGATTGCTCAGGTTTACAGCCAGGCTCCGTTAACTCCAGCTCACTGTGGAGGCGCAGATCGGCTCCCGCTGCAGCACAATCTTCTCCTCAAACCTGCCCGGTCATCAACTGCGGCAGAGTCTATGACAATGTTCCTTTGATTCAGGGTCATCTTAAAAGGTACTTGGTACAAGTTCAGAAATTGCTCAGATTTTTAGGGGGATGCGGTTGAGGTCTGTTTGACCCACTTTAACTTTTTATTGCCAGGTTTGATCATTCACCCTGTGATCCCACGATTACGCTGAGAGGCAGCCCCGCTGCTTTCTATGCCTGTGTGGCCTGTGGGCACTACTTTCACTCCAAATGTGCGTGGAAGAACCACGTGGAGTCTAAGGTTTTCATTTTTATCAATATTTTCATCTTTATGATTATTTATGTTATAAAGTGGTCATAATATTTTTCCCCCTGTATTTTTCAAAGTAAACATGTTAATGCATTTTTTAATTAAATGTTTAATAGAGTTCTTTTTTGAAAAAACATTAATACATTTATTCAGTGATGCTGATATAACGGTTTCATTTTGTTCTGTGTGATTTCTGAAACCTGACATTCTGTATGGATAATTTATTCATAAGTCAAACCCAGACGCAGTGTTTCACAAAACCCATTTGCATTGTTTGTGTAATTTAATGTGCTTATCATTGAAGCTCTACAAGTTAAATATCACCCATGAGTGAGAGCGTTATTCATAGAAATGTTAATGTTGCGGGCTAATATGCATTTGTTTACATGTGTTTTGATGCAGTTTGAGAAGTACAGAGCTGTGTTTTGTTCGAGTGAGATGAGTAAAGAGCAGTGTTTTAATGCCCTCTCTGGCCCTTTCAATTAAATGGGCCAGTTGTTGTTGTCATACTTGAAAACATCGAAGTCTGAATGCATTGCCACTCAAATTGTTAAAGGAGTAGTTCACCCAAAAAATGAAAATTTGCTGAAAATGTACTCACCCTTAGGTCATCCAAAATAGATGAGTTCGTTTCTTCATCAAAAAAGATTCAGAGAAATGTAGCATTACATCACTTGCTCACCAAAGAGTCCTATATCTATAATGCTTTCTTCTGTGAAAAAGTCATATCAGGAGAGAATTATGCACAGATCAAACACCATTTACAAGCAGAAACAGTTCTAAAATGTAGCTGCAAGCAGCAATTAAGGCACAACAGAGGTAAAATGATGAGCTGAGGAGCTGCCTTTAATTACTCAGTAAAGACCAGGGCCCGTATTCATGAAAATTCTTAGTGCAAAGAGTTGCTCCTAGTGACAAATTTCGTGTTTGTATTATGTTTCTGTAATGGTTAATCCACCAGTATGTGTAAGCTCTCTCTCTCTCTCTCTCTCTCTCTCTCTCTCTCGCTCTCTATATATATATATATATGTATGTGTGTGTGTGTGTGATTAGAGTAAAATAGAATAAGTTGAGGCTTATAATAAACCCTATTTAAAAGCACTCTATTTTTTTTCTTCTTGGACAACCAATCACAGTCTTCAAAAGAATGTGGTCAGCCCTGCCTCCTCATAAAAGTTTTTGTCTTTTCCTTGCTCAGAGTTGCTCTCAGATTGGTTCTCCAACCCTGCTCCTGAAGAGCTACCTTCCTTCAGACTTATGCTGGGTACACACCACAAGATAATCGGGCTGATTTCGGGCCGATTTCTCCCCTTCCGACAATCCTAGGTAATGTCCCGATTATCTTGGTGGTTCTAATAATTATCTTATCAGATATTCCTGTGGTGTGAGGTGTGTTAAGAGTGACTGAATCTGCTCGGAAGAACGTCGGAGGCGCCCCGATCGTGAATCGTAAATATTCAACATGTTCAGAAATCCTGATGTGTGGGGGGAACATCGCGGCACACCACGCACTATAGGAGCAAAACGGTTAAATCTAGGATTTTTTGTCCTCATATTTGTGGTCTCTCACATTTTGAAGATCTTGTAAGATTTAAAAAATCTTTTATGCCGGGTTCAGACTACACACGGTTGTCGTCCACTATGACACACTACACGTGCTGAAACGATCGTTTACGAATCCCCACGACACCCTACGTCAAGCAAATCGTGGCAAAATCGGGCTAAAATAGTGTAGTCTGAACCGGGCATTAGTGTGTACCCAGCATTAAGTTCCAACTCTGCTTCAACACACCTATCTGTAATTTAGTAGCCGTGAACACCTTGATTAGCTGGTTCAGGTGTGTTTGATTAGAGTTGAAGCTGAACTCTGCAGTATAGTATCTCTGCAGGAGTAGTGTTGGAGAACCCTGTTAAGATTTGTTGATGCAGCATTTTACTACTAAACTCAAAATGCCCAATGCCCAAAAAGACAGACAAATGAAAATTAGGTAATGTTAGATTCGGTATGTTGTTCCAAATCTAACAAGACCAATCTTATGATTTTTGGCCACACTGGTCAGAAGTTATAAGCAGAATTTTTTTTTTAATTTTTTTAATCTTTTGTCCAGCCCTGTTAAGATTTGTTGATGCAGCATTTTACTACTAAACTCAAAATGCCCAATGCCCAAAAAGACAGACAAATGAAAATTAGGTAATGTTAGATTCGGTATGTTGTTCCAAATCTAACAAGACCAATCTTATGATTTTTGGCCACACTGGTCAGAAGTTATAAGCAGAAATTTTTTTTAAATTTTTTTTAATCTTTTGTCCAGTAAGCCGAAACTACTCGTGTGCCCTCAGGTCATGCATGTCATAATACATACCAAATTTGGTCAGAATCTGCTAAAGTGTAGCGGAGATATAGCCTCGGGTCCATTTTTGCACAAACTTCAAATTTGTTAACTTGCTTTACAAGAACGGTTTGGTCTATCAGACAGGTCTATCTATTTTGATTACTTTTTGCCAGCATTGTCTGAAGATGATCTGAGCCACTTTTGGTGAAAGTCAGACAAACCGTCTAGGATGAGTTCAAAAAAAGAGTTCAAACATTTTTTTTTCACAAAATTCAAAATTGCGAAAAATCTTGACCTGTAGAAATGTACATTTTGGTGTGGAATCAGAGGAAAAAATAATTGTGACCCTGTCTGTGAAAACCCAGCTAAAGTCATTCTTTGGTGATTTACTGTTTTCTATGTAAAATCATCCTTCATGAGGTAAAGAACATTCTGTGAAAATGTAACATTGATATCTTTATTACTGAGTCATAAGACTAAAATCATAGTGAAATTAATGGTTGAAATCAAACTTTGATGCTTATCTCATATAGATTTTGAGACTTTAGCCTGGATTTCACAGAGAGGGTCACAATTTTACTTCTAGACCTTACGGTTCAAATGGTATTAGCAGAAATATGAGTGCAAATTGGACCTGTTGGTTTTGCTATGGTTAATATTGAAACTGTCCTCTATCTGTGTGCCAAATTTCATAACTTTCCCACAAGCGGTTCTATGGGCGGCCATAGACTTCCATAGACAACCTAACGGATGCCTAAGCACCTTTGGTGCTTCACCCCTAACAAACGTGGGTGGATTTTGATGCGAGACAACAACAGGGGATGGACTTTTTCACTGGAGAAAGTATTATTAAGGGTTATAGACTGATATTTTGGCCAGAATTGATGGTTTAAAGTTAAAACGCTTTAATACGTTTTTTTTTCTTAAACTTCACAAGACATTAACTGATTGACTGGAGTGATGTATTAATACATTTCTCCAAATCTCCCATCATGGGTGGCCTGAGGATGAGTAATGTTTCATTTTTGGGTGAGTTATTCCTTTAAGACCAGAACTAAGATGGAACACTTTATCTTAAGAGATCTATAGGAAAATCTAAGTTTTTACGTTATTGTCTTATGATAGAAATTATATAAAAAAGAAGTGGCATGTAAGCCATGCTTTTGTCTCTTCTGCTTGATGTCATCTGTAGGTGTCTTTCCCGGACACTGATGGTCACAGCCGTTCCCAGAGCTATCAGCTGATTGTTTGCTTTGCATGTCCTGCCTGTTACCTCCTCTTCAACATCAAGGACGAATGCCTTGAGCACATATCTGCAAAAAAACACTTCACTCAGTCCGTCACTCTCTGTGGTGCGTGGTCTTCAGCAATCAAATCCGAATCGCACATTCACCAGACTCATTGTTTCCAGCTGTTTTGTGGTATTGTTAGGACTGGCTGATCATCCTGTATCTCTGAACGATTCCTGTTTTGTTTCCTTTTCTTTACCATTTTACTAATGTAATGTTTTGAATTTCAGAGATAAAACCATTAAGCGTGCCTATACCAGTTCCACGGTACGCGAAGAACCGTTTAATCGCTCTTTGTAAGGACGTTGACTTCACCGTCAAATGCACAGCCTGCTCTACGGTGCTCTCCTCACATATGGAGGCAAGAGCACACTTCAAGTAAGTTTATATTGGTGTTTCTCTGATTCAAGTTTTATTTTTCTCAGTCCATCTGACATGATGCATGTGTATGCATGTTAAAGGTGCACTCAATTTTAGGGCCTGAGTACCAATGGTGCGAAGACCCTCTTTGAATTGCTTAGTTTATTGTAAGATCCGAAAAGTCTTAAGCAAAAGGATAACCCAGGGTTTAGAATGACCCAGGTTTAATTTTTCATTTGACTGACAGAACAGCAAAAATAAGAAACTGATGTTAATAATATAAAGTCTGTAGTTGCCATTAAATAAGGGGAAAACAACAAAACATTTTGAAAATTAAAGGTGGGGTAAGTGATTTCTGGTAGCCAATGTTGACATTTGAAATCACCAAAACAAACACGCCCCTACCCCAAAAGTGTCTCGCCCCTATTTTGATAGCTCCACCCCACACATACGTACGCAACCCAGGCAACTTCTGTGAAACAAAGCAAAACCAATGTTACACTGTGTCTACACCGGACGTGAGTGGTGCGGCGCGACAAAATACTATAGAACTTATAATCAGTGATGCGGTCTACACCATAGATATACAGTATATACATATCTATATGGTCTACACTGGATACGACACGATAAATCCCTAACAGAAAACTGCTGCTGCATTCTATTCATGACATATTGACACAAATTTCAAATGATTTTCAACGGTCGCTTTGTCGCGTCCAGTGTACTAAACAGACTTTAGCAGGTGCGGCGCAGACACGGTGTTACTCCCCTATCGAGAAGAAACAAAGCAACCTCGGCGTCCGATCGCAGGCCTTCCGTTCCTTGAGTTCTCTCCAGCGCTGGAAAGCTGATCCCATATTTACACGGGTCCTACTTCTTGCCTTAAGCCTTCTTTTGTTCCGCAGACGTTTTCCTCTTGTTTTTTATCCGCCATCTCTTTCTGTCGCTTGGCTTGGACTGAACGCTCTCTCCTCCACATCATGAGTAGACACGCCCCTTACTGCTGATTGGCTACAAAGTTTGTTTTGTTATTCGGCCCGAATCGGTTTTCTAAAGCGTTTTTGAAAAATCGCTTATCCCACCTTTAAGTAGATGGTTTCCAAGATAGATGGCATATATATCTGATAATAATTCTGTAACCATATTAATATTAATGCTCTTGTTTTATTGAAGAAATAATGCCTGTCTTGGTTATTGTCTGTGTATTTCTTGCATAACAAACCCCCAAAAAGAACAGCCCTGGTTTAACAGATTTGAAGTGGGAATAGCCCTATATTGTCTGAATTAATGAGATGCATTGAGAATATGTGCTGGTCATGTGATGTCAACATGGCAGCCACCATGTGGGGGTGACCCACTTTCTTTAAAGCCCAAAATATACTTTGGTTTTTACGCATACGTGAGGTGACGCAAATTCCATCAGAGCATGCTAGTACGTGCACGGGCTGTTTTTTGTAACCCACGTATTTTGTACACGTAGGTCACACATGTGCACTATATTTGTTTTGCACTAATCAGTGGCAACACTGGCCCTTCTCTTGCTATTTCAGTAGTAAGCGTACTGTGCACAGTATGCACATTTTTATGCATGTTTCCAGGATGACCTATTCTATTCCAAAATAAGGTCTATACAACAGAACCGACTGTGAAGAATATCCCACAATGCAATTTCTTAGTATTTCGTACACTGTGTTCACTCCCGTCCATATAGTTCCTTTAACATGCAACAGTAGCTATGTTTCCATCCAAAGCTGCGAATTTAACTTATGAGGAAAATTAGAATATCATATAAAATCTTTGCGAATAAAGCACCATTTCCATCCCATGTGTTCTAGAGAACAAAATCGTCACTTTCTGGGAAACTTAAGCAAAGTTTTAATAATAAAAATGAAAGTTACTGCAACTGGGGAAGCATGTGGCTCTTTTTTCATACATCATAAATTACTCGCACCTCAGAGCGTGCAGACGAAAGCAATAAACTGTCATGTCGTCTTGCATTTGGAGCTGGATGATGTTCATTTTGATGACGGACTTTCGCTAAGGTAACGTTTGAGATTGTGTGCAATGAGATCGGTCCGCTGGTTCGTCCTTTTATCCAATCACATGATCTGTTGAGGCAAAGTCGCATGAGTTTGGTTGAGCATCCAGGAACTTCTTCAGTAAATGTGTTTCATCATAGTTTATGCGCATGTTTTCTCACTGGATAAAAAAAAATTATCCAGCTCAGTTGAGTGCATAGGTTTTTAATGCATATTTTAAGATTTTACACACATCTTGACATTTACATCCAGTGCTTTTTTATGCGATATTCAAAAATGTGCATAAAAATATGTGGACGAACACATAGCTATTGAGGTCTTTTTTTTTTATTGTGCACTAAATATTATATGCTTTTGTTTTGTTTCCCAGTGTGCACTGCAATAATGGCTGTGCTATTGTCACTGCTGATCAAAGCATGGCTGACATCATGAGGACGATGGCAGTCATGGGTCGTTGCTCCTCATGCCCCAAACCTTTTTTTAGCTTGGGTCAGATGGAGGAGCACAAAGAGCTCCTGAAACATGAGGTGAAGAGGGTGAGCAGTATGGACAGGGCCCTTCTGTACTACAGCAACTACTGTGAAATCCAAAGAGTTCAGAAGGCCACGGCATGTGGGAGCGTTTCAGACGGGCCTTCAGCTAAGCGAAAAACACTGGCCAGCTTAGATTCCCAAGTCGAATCAAGAAAATGGTCACAGCTCGCCTGGTTCTGTGAGTGCGGCCTACGCTTCACAGAGGAGGATCAAGCAAGGAAGCACCTCCAAGCTGCCAATCAGATCTTTCACAAATGTGCGGTCTGTGGCAAGCTAATGGGCGAATTGTCCATAACGCGCTTGCACATGAGCCGGTTCCACGGTGGTGCTCATTTGTCCAACTTCCTTTTCCACTGCAGACAGTGCAAGGTGGAGATGCCGAGGATGGAAGACATGATGGCCCATGTTGGTGTAAGCCACAGAGGGCACAGCTACTACCAGGAAAGAGAAGACACAGCAGACCACTGCGTCTTGTCCAGTATGTCCCCCAAACCGTCTACCAGTGCGGAAACCGAAATGACCAGGCCGGACAGTTCCTCTTGTGTCCCGCCTCCCAAAGCCGAGTCTTGGCTTTGTCGGATGTGTGAAGACCTCTTCGAGTCTGAGGCGGCGGTGCGGAAACACTGCAGCGATTTGAGCAGCCACAGTTTCCAGAGGTTCGCCTGTGGCCACTGTCCGCAGAAGTTTTTCAAGGACTCCACCCTGCGGCGGCATTGCGCCAATGAGCATGGTGACGACATAGTCCTGCGCTACTTCTGCGGGCTGTGCGATAGCATGATGTACGACACCGAGGCAGAGTTTCTGGAGCACTACAATAGTCTGCACAGCCAAGATTACTACTGCTTGCAAGTGGCTCAGAATGTTTCCCAAGCAGTCACGGAAAACACCGTTGAGAGTCCGATAGCAAGTACAAGCCATGAGCAACTTTGTCCTTGCATGGGCTCTGAGAAATCCAGGGAGGAAAGGAAACCTATATTCACAAAATGCATGAAACAGTTGGCCACCGAAAATAAATGCAGTTACTGCTGTCGCCAGTGCGACAAAAACACGCCCACCTACGCCGAGATGAAGACGCACATCCTCCTGACACACAAGACCCAGGGCAATGAGAAAGGTTTTGATGTTCTGTGCACGGTTTGCTCACAGAGCCACAAAGATATACCCAGTTTCCATTCACACTACCACAAGCATCACTGCCAGTCAGAACCTTGCGCTTCTTCCCGACCCAACAGTACAGATGAGAAACCGGCCGCCACCACCAGCATAATAAATGCCAAGGAGATCTTCCCTCAGAGTAATGGTGAGGTTTCCATTTAGTATCTGGATGGATATCGAGTTACAGGCTTGTTTTCCCTCTTAATGATGACTCCAGCTGAATTATAGATCAATAAATGTACTCTACCAGTCTGCATAATATCATGTTTCTCATATGTTTTATAATTCCCATACTTTCTTTTATGGTATTTCATAGCTTTCATGACTTTCCTAGGCCTTTGCGTAATAAGTATCATATTATATATATATATATATATGTGTATATGTATGTATGTATGTATGTATGTCTCAATTAGTCTCGTATATAATATGAATATACAAAAATTTAATTACTTTTTTTTTTTTTCAGCTGAGAAGTTTCAAGACGTAAAGAATGCCATTACCTCAAGTATTCTTGATGTTAAAAAAGACGATGGTAGGTTTTCACTTTCCACTGTTTTTTATTTATTTTGTCTAGAAGTGGAACTTTAGTCAGTTTAGATTTGCAATGTTATGTTTCAATTTAGTACTGTGATGATTCAACTAAATATCAGCAAATCAACGAAGTACATGGAAACGTAATATTTAAAGGTGCTGTAAGTTTTTGACTGTACTAAAGCATAAAAATACCATAATATGTTTGCAGATATTTAAGAAACATGCTAAGTTAGCATACTTGTTTATCTGAAAAACAATGCTACAGTCAGTTATTCTCCTTTGAAAATGTGCGTTCCGGGCCGGAATGTCGGTCTGTTTTGGTTTGTGAAACCCGCCCACTGCCAGTTTACCCAATTGTATTTCGGGACCCTGGGTTGCCAGTTGGCGGAAAACACAGCGTGTTTCATTTAATTCATCGTCAAGTGTGCTCGTTCTTGTTGGTGTCGTCAATCTGGCAAAAAAAAACCTTTTCCGAGGGTCCGGGAAAAAACCCTCACCAATATTTTTAATTTGGACTGCAATACCTAGTTCAACCACTCGGTGTCAATCCTACATACAGCACCTTTAATTTCCAGTTTATATTTCTCCTTAGGTGCATTTGATCAGGACATGAAACTGGCTTTGGCTTTGAGTGCAGAAGAGGTCAAGAAATCAAAAGAGCTGGATATTGGTAATAAGTTCATCTTGACATATTTATGTAATACTGCTACTAACAATCTTATATTTCTGTTATTTCTGAGCAGTGTAGAGTCTGAAATGTGTTTTTATAGTATGTCAGAGCTCATTGAGAGAGTATGCTGTTCATTCATCAATCCGATGTTTATTTTGCCAGCTTTGCATGCATGAACAGAATTATCATTGTGGGTATGTTTCAATTTATGGAGCTTTGGCTCAGTGTGATATTTCTTGTAATAGATGGGATTTTAGGCAGGTTTCATAAGCACATGTATGGTGCTGGGTTTTGTTTTAAGGTTTGGGTGTAAGCACACAGATGTTGAATGTTGTCACTGCAGCATCACATTAGTTTGAGTAATCACTGGCTGAAAGACCCACAAATCATACAACAGTTTGTTTGTTTGTTTGTTTGTTTGATCTTTCCATTTATTATAAATGAGGTTTGTTTAAAAAAAAAAAAAGTAACCTTTTTTTTTAAATATATTTTTTTACAAATTTTTGCATTCTCATTTTGCAGAGATGGAAGAAGCCTTGAAAAGAAGCTTACAGGAATTTTGATAAGGGAAGACCATTTGAGTGTTTGTTTTCCCATGTTGTTCATGCACTGTAGTGATTAAGCACGCATTTCTTTTCTTTCTGTTTTTCTTAAATTTAAATAAAGGAAAGTAATGAAAGCATATCTTGCCTGTCCTTGTCTGAGAAATCTCACTGTGTTCTGGTTATTGTCTTTTCTGTGATGTCTTCTTGGCCCTTGACCCTAGAAATGAATCCCACCCTCCTTTGTTTGAATCTCCGAGGTGAACTCCTCCACTCTTGTCTGAAGGAGTGTATTACCAAGGGAAGTCCCAGCCCATGTTTGGAGATGTTACTCAAGACCCCTGGAAACCGCTAGAACGGGGATCCTCAATTAGTTTTCGCTGAGGGCCGAATTCTGCCAACAATACCAAGCCAAGGACCACTGACCTATATATATATATATATATATATATATA